TGGTAAGTCGAGTGTCAATTTATAGAATGTTTTGTCATTTAAACGTTGATCAAACATTGATTTGTTGTGGTTTTTAGGAGGAAGGTTCAAAAGAAGATGAAGAATTTGACAATTTTGTGTCTGAGGTTAATAATGAAGATGATGTTGAGGATGGTAGTGATGAGGTTAGTGGTTGATTCTTTTTTTGTTATTTTGCATCAGTGCCATGGGCTTTGTTTTAATTCTGTGTCGTTGGTGTATTACCTGATGTAAAGGACAATGACTAATAATCTGATGTTTGTAACATTAGTATAGATGGCTGAAAAGATCTCTCTGTTTTTATCTAAAAATGTTTATGGGGTTGAATAAAAGGTGACCTATCTTTGTTTTTGTTTTGGTTCTTCCACAACCTCTCTCTGTTACCAAGCTCTTTGGATGGAGAAAGTGAATTGTAGAATGTTTAGATGGTGAAAGAGAGACTTGCAGCTTTGTACTATTGTGTTCTATATTTAAAAGTAAACATGTACATACGAAGATCTTATTAAACAAGTACAAATAATAGATCCAACCGAAACCCAAGCGTTAGTGTTCTAAATTTGAGCACGAAATAGATGCGGCATTTGGACGTGTAAAAAAGCGTCCATTTCAAGTAGAAATTAACACGTTTAGAAAATACATTCACGAACGATTACGGTAGCTTATATTTTAATGGCGGTTTTAGTTTGACAAGTCATATTAATAAGACAGTTATGTCGTATTCGTTCCTTTTGGAAATTATATCTTTTCCTTTTAACTTTTTTTTTTGTTTAGGAAAATTTTCGCCTTAAAATCAAGTATTGGTCTTTATTTAAAATAATTTTATGTATAAAATCTGTAATCCGAAATGTGAATCAAATCCAAACATATCCAAATTTCAAATGTAATTAGCTAAACCCGAACAAATAACAAAAAAACCAAAATTCCTAAAAGATCGAAAACCAAAACAAATATCTAAATTAACCACATTCCTAAAAGATCGAAAACCCAAACAAATATCTAAATTAACCACAACTATAAGTTGCTCAAAAAAAAAAACCACCACTATAAATATTGAGACATATATATGTACTTCAAATATTTTTTTTTAATTTTAAAATGGTATTTAGAGATAGGTATTTAAAATTCAAATATATATTTTAAATATTCAATTCTATATCAATAAGTTATTTATTATTTTTAAATTTAGATTTAACTTCACATATATATGAACCATAATATAATCTGAACCCGAACAATATATGGTTATTTTATGGATCTTAGGATGTCAAAAATTATAACCAAAACTGGTGTATTATATGCTAACATGATCCGTACTATAATATAAATTTATTTTATATATTTTTTAGTTTTTAAAGTGTATTTTATTATAATACTAAACAAATATTTATTATAATTTAAATTAATTATATGGCCCGTCTTATACTTGATTAGTATTCACTTTTTTTGAGAAATAAGCTTAAAATAAAATGTAGTTGTAAACTATAATATATAATTCAATATAGTATATAATCAAATAATATTAATGTTAAGTAAATTTAATACTATATTTTAATGGGATAACTTAAATATTATATTAAATATAAAATTATTTATTATTTTAAATATTTTGTTTTAACATTTTGCATTAATACAATTTAAGTATGTTGTAAACTGTATGAATATATGTTAACATGCATATGCAATTTTTTTAATTTATAATTTATAATTTATAAAAAGCTGTATTTAAGTTATACTATATATATTATTTACCCTGATAATTTAATTAGGAATATGAGTTATGTATATATAAATATTATAGAAATGTTATTTTATATATAAAAATATTTTAAACAATAATATTTTTAACTAACCCCATAAAAATCAGCTTTTGAACATGAAAATGCTAATAATGCTAATGCTCGATAAAATCATTACGAAAGTAAGATATACAAATATCAATATATATGAATTTATCCTTTATTCTTTTATCAATCTAATTAAGTTGTGTGATTTCTAATGTTTTATTCATCACCAATATAGATAAACCATGAAAAATGAATATTACAAAAACTCATACACAAAACTATACAACAAATCAACAATGTATCCGACTCCGCGCTTGCGCGGAAACTATGTCCCTAGTAATAGGAACACTTGTTCCATGTTGTTCCTCCCCAGATTTGATTAGGAATGGTTTTGTTCTTTGATTCCTTAAAATAAAAGGAATGAGAAGGAATATTGAAGAAAAATTATTCCTTATAAATGGTGTCAAATTTAAGGAATGAAAAGGAATCTATTATATTAAAAGAGAAGTCATGACTCACTTCATGTGTGATTTTTTAGTTTGGACCATCCTTAGAAATTTTATAAAATTTTACATAACATCACTATAATATCTTTTCATATAGTTTTTATTTTAAATACAAATAAATAGTTTTAAAAAAATTCTAAGAAAATCTTTTAAAAGATCTTTTAGAATCTTTTCAAGATATAGTTTCAAAAATTATTTATTTAAAATTTTAATTATCATACAATATAATTAAAAATTTAATTCATTTTATTTATAAACAAACAATTAAAATTATGTAAAATACTTTTAACAATATCTCAAAATTTTGTTTATGTATTATGTAGTTCAAACTTAATTTACTTTTTACATATATTTCAAATCTAGAAATAAAAAAATATATATAAATTAGTAATTTTACATAATAATATTTTTAAAAATTGTTAATAAAATACAAATTTATAAATGTTATATTAATAATATAATAAACCAAATAAATATTATTATAAAATTAGATAGTATACAGAATCAAATTATATTTATTTATTGATAAATTTTACTCTCTCTGTTTCTTAATATATGATGTGTTGGATCATTGCACAAAGATTAAGGAATTTACATTTTTTACAACATTATTTTTACAGATATAATTTAAAAATCATTCAACCAATTAATATAAAAAAGTAAAATTTTATTGGTTGAATATTTTCCAATAAAGTTAAAGTTAACCTTAAACTATACTTTAAAATTTTAAAACATCTTATATTTTGAAAGAAAATAAATCTTCTAAAACATCATCTAATTTGAAACGGAAAGAGTATTATATATTTTTAAATATTTTTGTATTAAAATACCCGCACGGTTGTGCGGGTCGAGATCTAGTTAACTATTATGATTCCTTATAAATGGTGTCAAATTTAAAGAATAAAGAGGAATTAACTATTCCCACACATTCCTTTGGTCACCAGTCAAAGCCAAAATGAAAATGTCTTATTTCATAATTTTGTATTCGACTTAGGAAATTAAAGATAAAGAATCTCATTATTAATTATCAGTTAATAAAACAAAATATGATATCTTAATAACATTTGTATTTGTTGAGCTTGATATATGCACAAATATTTAGATCATGTATGAAATTCAATTTACAAAACAAAATTTTTTCTTCGTTATGTTATTTTAATACATAACGTTCGTACTGAATTAGGAAAATTTCATATGATGGAAACTACACCAATTGAAAACTGCTACCTGTAGATATTAAAATTACATAAAATGAAAATGTCTTATTTCATAATTTTTTATTCGACTTAGGAAATTAAAGATAAAGAATCTCATTATTAATTATCATTAATAAAACAAAATATGATATCTTATATATATTTTATAATTTATTGTAATGTTTACTAAATAAATGTTTAAATTAAAGATAAAATATATTTTTAACGTTTACTAAATAAATGTTTAATTTAAATAAAATATATTTTTAATGAAAGTTTTAATAGTTGGGTTAATTGTTAACTTTTTTAAAAGTTGAAGGTATTACTAACAATTATTAACTAAATAAAAAAATCATTTAGAAATATTCTTTTTGAAATAAAAATGGAGTAATATATTGGAGTACACCATTTTGAAATGAAAAATGGTTAGAAATTATCTAAGCCCACCGGCTGCTGACATTATAATTTCAATGCTAAACGAGTGAAGTTTGTCTTCCGTAAACGAGTCAAGAAGAGGAAGGCACAGATACAATTATGAACAAAAAAACCGTAACTAGTAGGGGGTTTTTCTTGACCGTTTTACAAGAGTATAGTAATTAAACACGGAGACAAAACAAAGTAAAAATTAGAAGATGGAAAGAAAAACAAAGTTCACTTGCCACGAAAGCGAAGAGGAAAAGCATTGTGAATTACGGAAAGAGGTCAAAGGAACACGAAGAGACGGTCGTCAGGAAAGGGCAATATGGGAATTCCGTTCCAATTAATTAGAAGCCCATCTAGTAGAAGAGCGCAACGCGTGGTCTCACGCTCATAATAAATTCTAAAGCAAAGCGTAAGATCCATTTATATATTATATATATATAGAGAAGGTTTTTGCAATTTCATTTGCATAAATATTTATTTTTGGTTTGTTGAGAAGTCTGCGAGAGAGAAAGAGAGAGCTCGTAAGTTTTCGTTTTCGGTGTGTGGATGCCAAAGCTGAGTTGTGTTTGAGGTAAATCTGACATCTTTTTCGTCCTTCCTTCCGACCACGTCTTCTTCTTCTTCCTCCTCGTCTCCGTCTTTTCACGCGACTTGTCTTTTCTAAATATATATAAATATATATAATATATACAGCTGCTTCTTTTTTTCTTTTCTTTTCGTCATTGCTCTGTCTGTTTCGCCGTTTGTTGTTCGTATCGTTTAGCTCTTTGGGTTTACACGCCAAGTTGACATGTAACTTTAGATTCAACATAGATTCACAAACCATTTTATTTACTCGACGTTGCCTTTTCTTGTTCTTAATGTTCGACTTCTTCAATGGAGGTTAGCAACCAAAGTTCCTTATTTTTTTTTCCTTCCTTCATTGCTCTGTCTGTTTCACGAGGTTCTAATATAGTTTGCGTTAAAAATGGTTTATTTTGTTCATGAATCAGGTATTTAGAAAACAGTTGACAAATTTGCGTTTTTTGTTTTGTGTTTGTTTGTTTATGATGTTGATTTGGTGATTTTCTTAGATGGAGCCATTTCATTCAGATGATGATGCCATGGAAGAAGGTATGGAGTCCCCATATCAACATGGAATTAACGGGGAGCCGCAGCTGCTTCCGCGTGTTGGAGATCAGTACCAGGCAGTTATCCCTCGTCTAGTCCCAGAGGATGATCGTTTAAAGCTCATTAGATGCTTCGGATTAGAGCCCCACCTGGTTACATTTGGTTTGCCTATCCCACTTATGTGGACAAGAAGTGAGAAATTCAGAGGTTTTCGCGAGATTGAATTCGAAGGAGAAGGGAGACCTCCATGCCGCCATGTCTCCTCTGCTAGAATGAGACCGAGGAGTCTTGTTCTTGCGTTGCCATGCCAGAAAAATGCAAAGTTAAAGTTCGGGTGGCTCGATAAGAGCCTTTATCCATTCCCTGGAACTCTAGGTGAATCTTGGGAAGACTCTGAGAAAGAGAGATTTCTTCTTGGCCTCTACTTTCTTGGGAAAAACCTTGTCTTGCTGCAGAGATTTGTTGGGAGCAAAAAGATGGGAGACATGCTCTCATACTATTACGGCAGCTTTTACAGGTCTAATGAATACAAGAGATGGGTAGATGGACGCAAGTCCAGGAGAAGCAGACGGTCTGTTCAGGGCCACAAGTTATTAACAGATTGGAGGCAACAAGAATTGCTCTCTCGGATCTCCTGTCATGTATCCGAGGAATGCAAGAGTATGTTGCTTAAGGTATATAAAGCATTTAGAGAAGATAGGATTGCACTGGAGGAGTATGTGTTCACTTTAAAGAATTTGGTTGGTATTGATATGCTTACTGAAGCGATTGGCATAGGTAAAGGCAAGAAAGATTTGACCAACTCCGCGTTAGAGCCGACCAAGTTGAATCCTGGAGCCTCCAAAGTCCGAATACGCAATGATCTTCCCGTTGCAGATATTGTCAAATTCTTAACCGGAGAGTATAGGATGAGCAAGACCCGGTCCAGTGACCTCTTCTGGGAAGCTGTTTGGCCACGTTTGTTGGCAAGAGGGTGGCATTCTGAGCAGCCGGAAGATGGTCCAAAGAACTCTCTTGTTTTTCTCATACCGGAAGCCGATAAGTTTTCCAGGAGGGACATGTCAAAGGGGAATCACTACTTTGATACTCTCACTGATGTCTTGAACAAGGTTGCTTTAGATCCCACGCTTCTTGAGCTCACTACTGATGATATTGGGAGGAGCAAAGACGAGGAAATCAAGAATGACCCGCCGATAGATATAGAGGAGTCTGATGATGATTCTTCACAAAACAATAAGAAGAAGAAAAGGTACCTACAACCACGCATCAAATCAAGTAAAAGTCAGGAGGTGACCATGTTTACGATCGTGGATACCAGTGGTGTGAAAGAAGGATGTACATTGAAAGAGCTAAGATCTTTGCCTATTGAGACATGCAATTCAGTAGCAAACCCCCCAACAAGTTACTTGAGTGAATCTGAGGATTACCAGCTGTCAGAAGACTATAAAAACAAGGCAGAGACAGCAACAGTCAGTATTAGTCCTGGTAAGAGCAGCTCTGTAAACATGGACAGTTCAAGCACCATTTCGCTAAATGAGAGTCTGCAGAAGAACCGGAAACGAGGGAGACCAAGAAATCCAAAGTTGTTACACAACAGGGGTAGCTTGGTTAATTGTGCTCAGAAATCAATGAAGAAGGGGACAAAGATGAGACCAAGCCCATTAGAAGCTGATCAAAACGTAGTGCTGACGAGAGAAGAGCATATCGATACTCTGAAACTGTCCTCTGCAGAAGATAGCTGCTGTGGAAGAAATAAAGGTTGCCGCCAAATATCACCGGGAAGACTTGAAATCAGAGAAGATTTCGACTTGAACGTTTCACAAATTTCACTAGAAGGCGAAGCTTTCGGGGTGGATAACAGTGAGAGCTCTTGTGCACAGCAGTCATCTATTCAAATGGATGAGGAAAAGCAGTGTAAGACTCGAGAGCTGCAGGTAAGCGGTGGTCCTGGGCGGAGGCAGAGTACAAGGACCCGACCATTGACTGCAAAAGCACTCGAAGCTTTTGCTTTCGGGTACCTTGGTAACTCGGAAAAGAAGAAAAAGTCTACGGAGGTGTCAAGAAAAAAGTATACAAAGCGAATCCGTAAAGAACAAGCCTTGAATCACGAGGAATCTAGCAGTTAGAAGACGATATAGTTACAGAAAATGTTTTGCCTTTTGTTTCTTATTGATCATTGTACCAATGTCAAGGCTGAAAGAAAGCTACAGAGGGCTGTGGTATTATCCACCGCTCATCAATTGTACACTCGCAAAACTTTTGAGATTAAAGTTGCTCATCAGAAAGAAACAACTCCCACGAGCATTGTTTAGGACGCCCAGTAATATGAACAAAACGCCGACATGCACGGTTATAAACAGAGAATTGGCTCATTATTGTATTTCTTTTTGCTTCTAATTATTGAGGCAGGGAGTTCTTGAGACTAAGCTGAATGCTGACACGAGCCACATTTGAGACTGCCTTCAGAATCTCCTTCTCTGCATCTTCAGCGGCTCTCATGGCCTCCCTGCAGGGCAGCCAAAATACTTGTCAGATAGTTTGCAAGAGTGGCCTACAAAGGGCAAATACGGAAGAGCTTTACTGTATTGTCATGGTTGATGGCATCGCAACTTCGATTTGGAGCAAGATCTTGCTATGCAACAAGTGGGGTGTAACTCGTTTAATCATCATTTTCTGCAGATATATGTGAAAATTTGCATTTAAAGAATAAACAGAAGTAACTCGACGTTAGGTTTGGTCTGGATTATAGAAAGAAAAATAACAGAGTACCTCAGAGAACTGTGATGAAAAAATTTCCGAGACAGTAGCTTCGACATGTTTAATCTCTTTGCATATGTTACTTTCTTGATTACTTTCCTTTTTTATACTATCATGATCCATCATGCTACTAGAAAACTGTAAGAAAGCTGGATCTGCAAGACACAAGTTGAGTTGATAGCTAAAAGACCAAAAACATGTGGTAGATTAGACATATTCTTCACCATGCAGCATACCTATATGAATGAAAACTTCAGACACTTGAGGATGGTTTTTATTGATCTGCCCCCGTACATATTCTCCTACCTCATGCGCAACACTCACACTAGAAAATGGATCTACCTATAAGGAAACAGTCATGATTTGTTTTTTAGTGGGATAATTCTTCCTACACCGATAGAGAAGAAAGCAGCACTTACCACGATGTGTACATCAAGATACAACGATGAACCAGCTCTCCTTCCCCTTAGCCGATGACATCCCTATCGTTAGAGAATTTCATTCATTAGCAATCAATAACAGAAAACATAAAGGCATGCTCTCTGATTTACAGATATACTGTATCTAAAATACAAGGATCCATAGCCCATACCTTGACTCCTTCAACCTGTAATATGGTCTGTCTTATTGGCTCTAATTGTTGAGCTGGTATAGCAGCATCTACCAGTTCCAATACACTAAACAAAGAAATGAAAAAAGAAAACCACCAATGGACATGGTGTTCGAACCAAAAGACAGAACCATTATTCCATGTTCAAGCTCAGGTTTTGTATAGAGAGAATTTGATATTAACAGAGACAAGGGGATACCTTTGGTGTCCCGTTTCCAGTCCAGCTTTGAAAATCATTGCCGAGACAACAAGACCAGCTAGGGGATCTAAGAAATTAACTCCTAGAATAGAACCTCCTGCACGGAAGTAAAAAAACTTTCATGGTTTTTTCACAACTTCACCTTTTCTCAATGGTTTTAGCCAAAGGCAATGCTAGACACTGTCTCCTTTTTAACTAGGTCTGTAATAATGGAGCAAAAGATACGATATTTAAATGCTTACCAACTCCAACAAGTGCAACTAGAGAAGAGATTGCATCAGATCGGTGATGCCATGCATTAGCCATCATCAACCCACTCCCTTGTTTTTCTCCTGCACGTTTTGTGATCCAGTAAAGCCTGAAAAGCAGGAAGGAAGAATGAGCAAAATAAGTGAATTAACAAGATATTAATGCACAATAGAGATGAAAATCTCTTCCTTTCAAGGCATACTAAATAATCAAGGCGGAGGGAGAAGCAGGTGTAACGAAATTGAATCAAAACAAGTTTACAGTTTGTCTAGTTTGAAGACAAAAAGCTAGAGACATAAAATCCAAGAAGCTGAGAATTGGAGAGGGATAATAAAGTACCCTTCTTTGATGGAAATGGAAGCAATAGTAACAGTCAAAGCGAGAGTGGGGTGACTCATATCAATTCCGTGATGATGAGTATGATTTCCATGTATACCCTCAGGGGCTGCGGACAGTGCACTCTGCAAATGAGAGAAGAAGAAATCTCAGCAGCAACAGGGACACTTCAAAAATGGATTAAAGTGGGTTCATACAAGTAAGAGGTCAAAGGCATGCCAGGCAATGCCACAGCCAGTAGCCAAAAGCATGGTAGAGATTCCAAGGGCTCCAAGAGTTTCAAATTTACCATGACCTGAAGGAAAAGCAAAACCCCAAAAAAACATGAAAACCGGTAAAACAGTAAAGAAGTAAAGAGGAAGGTAAGGAAACCAACCATATGGATGTTCTTTGTCTTTGGGAACATTGGCAGCTCTGTAAGATAACAAAGCAACACCACTTAGAACCTAAGACAAGGAATGAAGGAAGATCACTTGATTTTGTGTGTGTATCATCAAATAAATGAAATCGATGGATCAAAGGATAAGCATATACCACATCGGAAACGGAGTGAGCAGCGTCCGCGATGATCGCCGTGCTGCCGCAGAGATAACCGGTGAGAGCTTTGCCTACAGATAAACCGATATCAGCGGTGAGACCAAGCCGGAATATCCTCTCCCCTTCTTCGGCACCACTGGGCCTTTGATCAGATCCAGGGGGATGAGTGTGCCCAAAATGCCACCTTCTGGAGAAATTGAAGCTAGGAGAAGATTGCCGGAGAGGTGAGTGAAGACGGTGTAAAGATAATCGCAAGAGGGATGATCTACAAATCGGATTCATTTCAGCTGCTTATCAGAGAGGAACCAACCATATCTGTTATCCATCAGAGGAGACTATGAAGAAGAAAAACAATGAACTTTTTATTTTATTTTATTTATTTTAAAGTTAGATTCTCTCGGTATATAATGAAGCAAAAGAAAATGCTCTAGCATCATCAACCAATGCGTCTTTGAATCTCTTGTGTGTAACTTCAAATTTTTCATCACAACAGAAGAAATGGTCATCAACTTTGTTGCTTGCTTTCTCTGCTGGATTGTATCATTGGATTACTCCCAACCTCCTCCTCAATAGATATATTATATGGCTTCACTCATCAAATCATCCTTCTACCCTTATTTTTGAACTCCACTTGCCTTCTTTGATGATTCAATCTTGTTTCATGTTTTTCTTTGACGCTAATTTTTGAACCCAAAAAAACTTCAAACTTCCCTTTTATTTCAAAATTAGATCACACATGCCTCAGCACATCAAAAGAAAAAACGAAAAATGGGAAAGCTCAGACTCAGAGTTTGGTGGTGTATCCTTTATACACATCCATCAACTCAGGCAACTCCTCCTCGTACTTGATCACCAGCTTCTCCAAGAACACTTTCTCCACCGGAACCAACAACGACGTCAAGCTCCAGTCCTCCTTCACCATCCCCTTGGACGCCAACACCTTAACCACCGAGCATCTCGGGATTATCCTCTTATCCAGGCTGAAGAAGAGCACCACCGGACACCCTGCGATCGATCTAGGCGCCAGATTCATCTCCTTGACAAGAAACTCCATCGTCCTGTTTATCTTCCTCTCCGACAGCATCATACAGTGCGGGTGCTTCTTGAACGCGCACATGATGTCGTCCTCCGACCACCCCCATCTCTGATACACCTCGAAGCACTTGTCCCATATCGATCTATTGCCTTTCCCAGAGAGAGCGTGGATCGCCAGCACGAAGGTCGTTTTCTGGGGATTGAATCCCATCTCTTTAGCTTGCTTGGTGATGGCCCGGAACTCGTGGTTCTTCTGCATCACGGCTTCGGGGAAATGCGTGAGGAGCAGCTGTATGCATTTCTCGGGGACGCCCGTCTCGGCCATGTGGTTGATGTTGGGGACGAGGTTCTTGGTGTGGTCCTCCAGGAAAATCCATGTCGTCCGGCGAAGGGCGGCGACGATCTTGTCGTCAGCGTCGAGGACGCTCTTGAGGAAATTGTAGGAAGGGATGAGCTGGTTGACGAGGCTTCTGGTCAAAATGGTGGGATCAGAGGCGAGTGTTCGAGCGAGTAAGGGTTTTGAGACGCCGATGGAGAGGAAGAAGCGGAGTTTAGGGAGGAGCACGGACTCGGCATTGGCTAGCAAGAGCACGGGGCGTTTCTTGACGAGGCTGGAGATCTGGGAGGTGGAGAAACCATGGTCACGGAGGAGGTTAAGAACCGTGTTGGGGCGTTCCGGAGAATCTAGTAAGAGCTTCCGAGCGGCGATGATGGCGTAGTCGGGAGATAGACCACAGGAGTCGACAAGATAACTAATGGTGAAGGAGAGTCTCTGCTGTTCGTCTTTAGGGTTTTTCTTGGGAGAAGAAAACGGAGCTTGGGGAGGAGGGAAGACGAAGAGGGGTCTCCGATTCGTAGGCGGTAGGGACAAATTTGTTGTTGTTGTTGTTGTAACGGGAAATGATTGTTTCGTGAGGAAGAGCTTCAGAAAGGAAGTGCTTTGAGCCGCGACGGCCATGTGTGAGTGTGTCTGTGAGAGATAGAGAGACTGGGTTGCTGGCTCGCTTTCCAATCTTCTTCGTCCGGGTGGATACGTGGGCCATAAATGGGCTTAAATATTATCTTAATGGATTCAAGAGATAGTTCATTGAATCGTCGACTCGGACGAGACCAGTCCTGAAGATAACTGCTGCCCCTTTTTCACATGGTGGCCACTCTCGCGCCATCCTCACTGGGCCTATCTAGGTTGGGCGTTAGGGTACCGGTGTGGTTCGGATGGGGTATTCAGATTTTGTCCTAATTTGCATCATAGGACCCAGTAAATATAGGGAAAGTATTCTAATATACCCCAGTTAGAAAATAACTATTCTCACTATCCCACCATTTTTCTCACTGCCCCACTTTTTTTTTTGTTCGTAGTAGTTTCTAGTAATTCAAGGTAGTTTGTTTTTTGTTCATAGTAGTTTCTAGTAATTCAAGGTAGTTTCTAGTAATTCAAAGTAGTTTCTAGTAATTCATATTACATATAATACTAATTCATTAAGAGTTATTGATTTTTTAATCACGTTTTGATTTTGAGAAAGAAAAAAAAAATCAAATTTATGATGGGTTAAAATAGAATGAAGATGATAGTGAGTGGGGCAATATAGGACATGTTCAAATGTAACACATCGATTTTAATTCTAATTTGTATTATATTCTAAACTCATTATATATACGGAATATATAGGCTCGAGAATATCCGAAATAAAATCTAAAATTTATAAAAAAAAAACTAAAAATAATTATTTGTTTATATAGAATTGAATATTTAAGGTATTTATTTAAAATTTAAATGTGTACTTTTAAAGAAATTGTTTTTAGATTTCATATCGAAACAAATATAGATCTAAATATTTATTTTTATATTTCATAACTATGTTTCAAATATATATATATATTGCATATCAATTTGGATATTTAGATTAATTTCTTCGGATAGTTTTTCGGGTTGTCCATTAGAGTAGAGTTAATAATATTTTAGGTTTTTCTGTTTCGGTTCAGTTAAGATTTTAAATTACAGTTTTTATGCACATGCCTAGCCTTACCTTCTTGTTCTTCGAGGGATTTATACTAAGTCACACTTACATTTATTAAATACTCCCTCCGTTTCAAAAAGTTAAACGTTTTAGTTTTTTCACACATATTAAGAAAAAACATAAAACTTTGATTACCAATGCATCATTTATTATAGATAACAAATCCCTATATTTTTTAACCAATAAAATTTTAAAAAACACAATTAATTTTTTCGGAATCTACAATTAATTTTTTCGGAATCTACAATTTTTCAATTAATTATACATTGAAAATTGTGGGAACCAAAATTTGCACTGTCGATTTTCCGTCAAATATGGAAACTTAGGGAAAACCCTAATTCTCCTGAGCTCCTGGATCTCTGCGGAAATCACTAAAAAGAACAAAGTTAACAGAATATGGATGAACAAAAATAACGACGAACAGAGTATAAATAAAGAATTTGCGTAAGAGCTTTTATTGAATAAGAGATTGACTGCTGTTACAAAGAGAATTGCGGAACTTAGACGTCAAAACGTTCTAAGGATCCGACTTGCTAGTCTAAACACCTAAGTCCTAAATTCGCCTAAGCTAACAGCCGCCTCTCTAGGTCTAGAATTCGTCATGTGCTTTTGTCCTCTGCCTTTTGCTTATCTACTCCCTTCCTAGGCGGTTTAATCCTTTCATTTCGTCAAGATTCGAGTTTATCGAGAATCTTCCATTTATCTTTATCTTTCTTTTTTTTCCGCGGAAACCTTCTATTTATCCTCAAACTTGACATTTATCTTCGGATTTGACATTTATCTTCTTTCTGCGAGTAAATCGTTAAAACGTCGTCGTACCTTAGGGCTAGACTTCTTTAAAATTGCGAGATAGGCTTTTATCGCGTTTTAGGATTTTTCGGGCCATTTTGCGATAAAAACCGTTTTACGACTTTATACGAGATCGTTTCCTGATGCGATGCCGTTTTTAAATAAGTTTCTCGAGTTAATCGCGAAATTTGGCAATGTTTGATGTTTCGGTTAATCGTTGCCGTTTTCTACGATTTACTCGAGGTTTTGTTAAAAACACGTTTTTACGATTTTTATGAAAAATCTCGTGTAAATCGTATAGTTAGGCAATGTTCGGTGTTTCGTTTAACCGTTGCCGTTTTATACGATTTCCTTGAGTTTTTTCGGGAAAACAAGCCTTTATGGTTTTTATCGTAAAACTTAAATGATAAGACGGATCAAAGCGAAATG